ATTTTTGGAAAGATAAGTAAAAAGCAGTAACTGTAATGTGAAGCACTTACTTAACTTGAAATGCTATCCACTGGTATTTGTTCAAAGTCTAGTTCCAAAGTCATTAAGTTTCTGTGTAGTCATTAAGTGAGTGTGTGTGTGTGTATGTGTGTGTGTGTAAAGTTCATACAGTAAATGTTATATTTTGGCAGGTCATGTGGTCGCTATCCTAACTTCTCAGTCTGCCTTTAGAATATGAAAGTAGCTATAAACAAAAACTTACTTGCAAACCATTTCTAGTTGTTGTAACGCTCTGAAAATCATGGAATCGATTATAATAAAGCTAGAACACACACATTTCCAAAAAGAAAAACTTTCCATCATATCACTCGCCTTTTTAAAAGCTGAAATCTCATGGGAAAAAAATAACTTATGGAAAGAGAGGTTTGACAAGGCATTACTGTACTTTGGTAACAATAAAAAAAAATTAGCCTCCTGTGGAAAAAAACTCCTGTAGCTTCTACCATCTCCAGTGGAAATCAGAAAACAAAATAAAACAAAACAAATGGAATACTTAAGTCACTCCATAGTTCCAGCAAATCCATTAGTTATTAAGGGCATGACAATAGCTTTTGAATTAGTACAAATTAAGAAACTAACAAAATGAAATACTGAGAATTTTCATTTTAGTCTGAATATAGGTCATAAGAAAGGGCTGGATACACTATAACATCAAAATTGTAAAACTCATCTCACAGCTGAGAATACCAAAAAACAAAACAAAAAACTAAACAAGCTAGGCTTTACTTTCTAAGTAAACAGTAAAGAGTATAATTCAACTCTTAAAGATGAGCAAAGGGGCAAGCAATCAATCCTCACACTGACATGACAGACTGAAACTCAAGAGTTTCAGAAGCAATGCTACCCAACACAAGCAATAGTCTTTGCTTGCAATGGAGCAGTCACAATCTATGGCCACAACACCCTGAATTGAGTCTATCCTGTATGACCTTGGAAACTAAGCATGGTCAGGCCTGGCTAGTACTTGGATGGAAATATATGTAACTGTGTACTAATCAAAGAGTAGAGGAGAAAGACAAAGTAAATCTCCTGAACTGAAAAGCCAAGAACAGAGGTATAACATGAAGCAAAGATATACACACACACACACAAGCTCAACTTAAACAGCACATTTTGTTACAAGTGGAAACTGAATACACAACATAAATTAAAACCTAAACTAACTATATTTGTAGCATACCCATAAATTCCAAGTCAGAAAAAAATACAATAGCTTACAACTCTTTTAGTTGAATTAGCATGCCTTTTTCCAAGAAGCAGCAGTTAGAAACTTCATTTACTGTTCTTAGCATCTATAATATTCATATATCTAAGGAACCATTAAAGTGTGACACAGAAACAAGAAAAAGACAAAAACACTTATTACTCAAATGGAATGACTTTAAAAATAAATCTCATAAAAATATATTTTATATACCAGTAGGGAAGGGAAATGATTTGAGATACTTTGGCAGAGAAGTGTAAGTTTAAAGTAAAAAGACACAAAGAGTAAGAGTCAGCAAAAAATATATAATATTTAAGATGAGCCTATTCTACTACTTAGCAAATTCTAGACTACATAGAGAGATCGGTCTCAAAAAAATAAAAATAACAATAACAACAAAAACCCAACATTTAAGATGAAAAAGTAGCTGAAAAAAGTTACTGAATAGGCTTAACAACACAAACATACACACATAAATTATAAAATTCAGATTCAAAAAGATCAATGCACAGTATGTAAAATAAAACAGAGAAAGAGAGAGAGAGAGAGAGAAACAAAAGAGGGTAAGGATCAGAGTCAGCCAAATGAGACAATTCCAAACCATCCGAAAGGAAAACTAAAGGGAGTGGAGCAGTACAGAAGACTGAAGTTTGTAAAACTTTTCCAAAATTCATACATAAATCCACAGGTCCTAAACTCAGCTAACTCGGTTTGGTTTGGTGGTGTTGTTTTGTTCTCATTTTGATTTTCCATTTTGATTTTTTGTGGCTGTCCTCAAATTCAGAGATCCACCCGCTTCTACCTCCTGACTGATGAGATTAAAGGTGTGGTCTACCGCTGCCCAGCTAAAAAATGATCTTTATACATTTAGATTAAAATGTTTATTTTCAGACAGACAAAAGCCAAGAGAATACACATAAAATTAATGAAATGTAAAAAGAATTTCAGTTCATTAATAGCAGAAAGAAAATTATGTCAAACAGAATTCTAACTCTGCCTTTAATCCCAGCACTTGGGAGGCAGAGGCAGGTGGATTTCTGAGTTCAAGGCCAGCCTGGTCTACAGAGTGAGTTCCAGGACAGCCAGGGCTACAAGAGAAACCCTGTCTCAAAAATAAAAAAAACAAACAAACAAACAAAAAAAAATAAAAAAATAAAAATTCTAACTCTGCAGAGAGGAACATCCGAGGAACACTGAGAACCGGCGGCGGCCGTATCTACTCTCATCGTTTGTATTCACTACTGCAATACGGTGACAGTGTCAAGATGGAAGAAAAAGAACTGAAGTCATAAGGAGAGAAAAGTAAAAACTACCTTTAGTCTCAGGCTATATGTTATATATAAAAGACCCAAAGGAGTACACAAACATGTAAGACTGAAAATGAATACAAGAGATCAAAGGACACAGATCTATATACAAAAGGCAAATAAATTTCTCAACAGTGAAAAGTGAAACTTGAAAAGCAGTATGTACAAAAGATTTAAGAGTATTTAGCAGTAAAACTAACAAAAAGATACAGAAAACCTCCAAACTGAAAACTATAAAACTTTCTTGAAAGAAATAAATACCAACAAATGTAGATATACACAGAAAGATAAGTATCCTTACAACGCAAATTTTACACAAATTGTAAACTCAACGTAATCCCAATCAATACCTCAGCAAGACAGGGCCTACGGAAACTAGCTGTAATTCCAGTCACTTGCGAACCTGTGGTGGGAAGTAAACATTCATATGGACTACATAGCAAATCTAAAGGAACCTAAACAACATAACAAGACCATCTCAAACAGAAAAATAAAAAAATAAAAAAATAAAAGGTCTGGAAGTCTAATTCAGTGAGTGTTGACCTAGCATTGCTCAAGGGCTCTAGGCTTAATCCCTAGCATTAAAGGGAAAGAAGAAGAAAAATTCACCCAAGTTCCTCTCTGGATATAGACACACTTATTTAAAAGTTCATATAGAAAGAAGCCAGGTGTGATGGAGTATATTCAAAACTCCAGGACTTGGAAACTAGAAACAGAAGGAGTTAAAGGCCAGCCTCCACTATATAGCAAGTTCAAGACCAGTCTTGACTACGAGACCCTGACAATAAATAAATAAATAAATAAATAAATAAATAAATAAATAAATAAATGGCTAAAAATAGCTAACATCATAGTGAAGAAGCAAACAAGATTAGATACTACAGAACTTAGTACAAAAGCTACAATAATCAAGGTAATAAACCAATACTTTAAAATAAGTCAATGGTACAGGAAAAAGTCCCCAAAACAGATCCACACAAAGAACATTCAACCAGGTTTTGACAGACAAAAGAAAAAGTGTTGAGTAAAACATAAAAATGTAAACGCCTCGAGTATAATAGCACAGGGGAATTGAGGTGAGCGTAAATTTAGTTTAGATTGTAATTCTTTAGATTACACCAAAAGCACAACCACGAAAGATGCATTTGGTCAATAGAATTTCATTAAAATTAAAACTTATATTCTGCCCAATGATATCATTAAAAAAAAAAAAGACAAGTCTAACCTAGGAAAAACATTCTTATCAAAACACATGTATATTAAAGGACTGACTGATAGATATTAGGAAAAAAAACTAAAACTCAACAACAAGAAAACAATCTACTAATAATATACAAACATGGGAGAGGGGATCTGAATACACCTATAAAAGAAGACATACAGCTGGCAAATACACATATATTACTTGGGGAATGAAAAAAGAAAACACTGAGAGAGTACCACGAACTATTAGAGGGCAAAATTCCAAAGCAACAATAAATAACACTAGCAAATACTAGTAAGAACGTGGGCTGCCGGGAGAAATGAAAAGGCACAAGCGCTAGGCAAGAGTGACAGCTTCCTATACACCTGGACCATGGAATCCTGTCATCCTATGTTTACCCAAATGACCTGAAAACTATCCAAACAAACTTACACAGGGATAACTATAATATTCAAAGTATCCTTCAAACAGTAGTAATAATATATGGAATATTCCAGGATAAAAAGAAACTAGTCATAAAAAGACAATTATTGTGGGGGGAGAGGGGCATATGCCTTTAATCCCAGCACTCAGGAGGCAGAGACAGGCAGATCTCTGTGAGTTCAAGGCCAGCCAGGTCTACACACAAAAATCCTGTGGAACACACACACAGACACACACAATCTTTAAATATATACTAAGTGAAGGGATCCAATCTGAAATACGTATATATTGTAAGATCCCAATAACATAACATGAATGAAAAGACAAAACAATGGTGATATAGCAGGAGAGTAAACACTAGAGACTACAGCATAGAGAGTAACAAACAAAAGAAGCCAGTGGGCAGGAACCCTTTCTTATCTGAGCTTCATCTAACAGAGCATGTGTAAAGAAAGCCCAGATACATAAAGTAAGAAAGCCAGACATTATGGAAATGTCCCCAAAATGGTCAGGCTCTGTTCTCAGAAGTGCTTTCTCTTTGTTAATAATCTGTTATTTCTATTTCTAATTATCTGTACCTGTACAATCCTTTCTACCACAAGGACTTGAATGGAGAGCCCTCTGAACACAGGTCTATAACCCACCACAAAGCATGCTTCTCGTTTTCAGATACTGACCCACGGTATAAGCATGTTTTCTCTCCAATGCTGTTTTCTCGAAGCTTTTCTGAACTCTACACCTAAAAAGGCTGACTTTCTCTCCACTTCCCTCCTCACAGCAAACGTTATGATTTTCAACTTACCTGCCCTGTTGTTTTTCTCCCAAACTAATAAAATGGCCCTTGAACTTTCTTCAGAGTCCATTTCTGAATTATTTTATTGATGAAGCTAAGAATTTACAAAATGGAACTTTGGTTTCCTCAGTTACAGGAATCAGAATGATTAGTGGTTGTCAAAAGATCTGGAGAAAGTAAAAGAATGAAAAGATGAAACATGAATTTTGACAGCAATAAAATTACTACACATGATACCAACACAGAAATAATATGGGAAACCAACTCAAAAGGAACAAAACAAGATAAAAGGGTAAGAGGAACAGCCTAACCCATAAAGTTAATCTGCAGTAGAAATGTAAAGTAATTGTTTTTACATTGACTATATACTCTAGGCTTTATAATATTTATAGTTTGGATTTTTTTTTTTTTTTGGTTTTGGCTTTTTTCTGCTGGTGTGTGTGTGTGTGTGTGTGTGTGTGTGTGTGTGTGTGTTTCAACACAAGGTTTCTCTGTGTAGCACTGGCTGTCCTGAAACTTACTCTGTAGACCAGGCCAGCCTCTAACCCAGAAATCTACCTATCACTTCTTCCCTTAAAGGTGTGCTCCACTACTTCCATCTTTACAGTGTATTCTAAATATAGGCTTCAGAATTTGAAGAATTTTCAACTTGTTTTATAAACCTTTAAGGGTGAACAGCCTTGTCATATGTTAGCTTCAAAGGTAGATCTTTATCTGTGAATATTTTGGCACCTAACAAATTTTTAAATTGCTCAACAGTGACTACCCAAACAAAGAACAAGTACTTGTTACTAATTCTTAGATTTCAAAAGCTCCATTTCAGTCACAACTTCAAACAGGATTTCCATTGCTCAGCTAACACCAAATCTTAAAAAAAATAAGCAATTCAAAAGACCCTACTATAGTGTCTGTCACCTCAGTGGCTATTGGGATAGTGAAGTGGTAACACAGCACTGGGCAGCAGTCACTGTTTCAAAACTATACAAGAAAAATTACCAATTTATGTTATTAATTATGTTTTAAAATTACTAATATGTTAGTATGGCAATGACATTAAAAAAAAAACTGAAGTGGGGGAGGTGGCACACCTTTAATCCTAGCACTTGGGAGGCAGAGGCAGGAGGATCTCTGAGTTCCAAGACAACAAAACAACAACAACAAAACCCTAACCATCCATGCTTGCCCTTTCCTTCTTAAATTCTTTTCTATTATAGGTTTCTCTAGAGAAAACATATCTTCTGTTTTATTGTCAAGATTTTGCTACTGATGTTGTCATCACATATACATATACACATACACATACACATACACATACACATACACATACACATACACATACACATACATATACATCACCCTAAAATGTTTCCCCAAAACTTGTAAAGTGGATTTGGGGTATAGCTCAATTGGTAGAGTTTTATAGAACATGAAGGAATGAAGAAAGCCCTGGGTTTGATCCCCAGCAATGTATAAACTAAGACTGTATCAGACTAAAGAAGGGGAGGGGAGGAGGAAGAAAAACAAACAGAGGGGGGGGGGAAAGGCAGACACACAAAGAAAGAGAGAGAAAAAGAAAGAGGGGGGATAAGAGGGAGGGAGAAAAGAAGAGAGGAAGGGAGGGAGAAAGGAAGAAAAAACAGCATCTGTGAGGCTAAAACAGGACTACGACCTCAGGTTTGAGGCCAACAAACTTCTAAGTGAAAATAAAACTACATTTGAACATTGGAATCGATTTTGAGCTGGACAGATAGCTCAGCAGTTAAGAGCGATTGCTGCTCTTGCAGCTGCAGAACATCCAATACACTCTCTGGGCTTTCCTGGTCACCTGCACACTCAGGCACATACTCACCCTGGCTGTCCTAGAACCTACTGTGTAGACCAGGCTGGCCTCCAACTCACAGAGATCCACCTGCCTCTGCCTCCTAAATGCTGGGATTAAAGGCCTGTACCACCACACTCACTCCAATAGAAATAAAATTTGTATGAAATCCAAAAAATCCAAGATAACCTATAATTCTATAATTTTAAAAAATATAAAGATATTACTTGTATATAATTAAAAAATAATATTTTGAAGATATAGCTATTTCTAACTGGATCCAAAAATGTGACTTAGAGGACTACAGAGATGTCTCCTCAGATAAAGTACTTGTTAAGCAAGCATTGACTACATATATGTTCAGATCTCCAGAACCAAAATAAAAACTTGCCAGGGCAATATGCATCTGAAAGAATAGACAGCTAAGGACTCTGGTGACAGAAGCAGAAGATCTTAAGTCAAGGTCATCCTCAACAACACAGCAAGTTTGAAGCCAAGCTGAGCTATTTATTTGGGAGGAGGGGCAGAACCAAATAACTTGCTACAGATATAACTATATAGATACAGAAGAATTAATATCTAAAATGCATATAGAATTCCTAACAATGAGTGTAACAAAGACAGGACTCTTAATAGGGAAAAAAATAAGTAAGCAACTTGAACATGTAATTCAGAAAAAGAAATTCAAACAATAAGGTATAGACCTGTACCTCAGCACTGAAGAAGCTGACGCAGGAGGATCTGGAGTTCTAAACCAATCTAGGTTTCAAATCCAGTTTTAGATCAGCCTGAACTACACAAGACTATCTAAAAAAAAATAAAAACAGAAAGAAACAAAGAAAGAAAGACAACAGACAGACAAAAAGAAAGAAAAGTAATAGGTGGAAAAGATGCCCAGTTTCAGTAATTTAAATAATGAGATAGTATCAGTTGGCAAAAATTTATAAATCTATAATATCTACTGTTGAGGTGGATCCAGTCCAAGGAAAATTTTCATATGCTGTGTCGGTAAAAGCAAAAACTAAAGCCTCTCTGTCATTATCTAAATTTTAATTTGTTCATCCTTTATGACCTATCTTCTCTTGTGACTAAGCATTTCTGATCACACAAATTTTCAAAAATATCTGCAAATGTGCTATTGTTAAATATAAGCATGCATTCCATTCTATCATTTGTCTCATAAGAGCAAGAAATTAAAATCAATTCAAATGATCATCAAAACTAGAATGGCTAATTGGCATATAATCTAATGGATAAATTTACCACAATGAGATCTAATAAATCATGACTAAAATAATCTGTAATTAATTTTAAAATTACTATGAAGAATTCAATTTCTATCACATAAAATAAACAGAGCTATTCAGCTCATACATTTAAAAATAAGGAGAACTACAGTATTAAGAATATGCTACTGGCATTTAAAATCATGATTAAAATCATGATTTAAATTAGGACAACAGTTTCTACAAAGGGACAAATATTAACAAAGTAAAGGTAGGAAAGGGATACTTTGATCTGCTGGTCTAGACAATGACACAAATACATCAAAAATGTTTAAAGTATGTATGTATATTTCTCATACAGCCTCAAATATCCACATACATATATGTTAGTGGATAAAAGTAATTGCATGTGACTACTAAAATAATTTGTGAGTGTGTATGTACAGGTGTGTGCAGGTTTATGGAGTGCATGCATGTGTACATCAAAGGACAAACAACCAAAAAAACAAAATTTGGGGGTAGTTAGTCCTACCCATCTTTTTTTTTTTTTCCCCAGTTTTTTGAGACAGCATTTCACTGTGTAGTCTGCATGTCCTGAAACTCAATCTACAGACCAGGCTGCAAAGATCCCCCAGCCTCTACCTCCTGAGTTCTGAGATTAAAGGGACTGACCACTACTACCTAGCTCCTACTCATCTTTAAAATAAAAAATAAACAGATGCATATATGAACTCACAAGGCTGACCTGTTATGACAGAAGACCTGAACTGATTGACGTCAGATGGGCATCCAGTACTGAAAGGGGAAAATGGTTCCCTTCCCTAATAAAGAAGCTACCTGGAATTGATTCCCACTGGCAAAGGGAAAATCAATTTTCTCCAACAGGATGTCACTGGGTATATCAACCAACACTCCAGGGCAGGCCCTAAGCCCAGGAGTAGTTAGTCAGCATAAAATGAATTCAATGGTGTTTCTGTAGAGTCTTTGTTTCATTTTGCTTTAATTTTTTTTTATTTGTTTTTTGGTTTGGGGTAGTTTTATTTGTTTTGGAGTTTGGTATTGTTGGTATTTAATCTGTTTCTTTTGATTCCCATTCTTGAGGTACGTTTCTTGTTCTGGGTTTTTGTTTGCCTGTTTGTTTTTTGAGAGAAAGAACGTGCCAGGGAATTGGGAAAGGCGTTTGGAAAGGGAAAAAAAAATAAGTAAAATATACTTTATGGCTGAGCACATTCTCATACATCTTTAATCTTACTACTCAAGAGGCAGAGACAGGTGGATCTCTACGATTTCGAGGCCAGATTGATCTCCAGGACAGCCAGAACTACATAGTGACACATCGTATCAAAAAACTAAAATAAAATAAAAATAATAAATAAAATATATGGAGAAAATTGTAATTTAAAAAATTAAAATAAAAAAAATGTTAAAAACAAATTTCTTACTGGCCTTAGGCTTGTCAATTAGGCCAGGAAGGTATTCTGCATGGACAGAACACCACAAGAATTTGCATGACTCCTCCTCTCCAGTGTTGGAATTACAAGTGCACACCATCAGCCAGGCAGTGGTAGCACACACCTTTAATCCCAGCACTTGGGAGGCAGAGGCATACGGATTTCTGAGTTCGAGGCCAGCCTGGTCTACAGAGTAAGTTCCAGGACAGCTAGGGCTACACAGATAACTGTATCCCCACCACCCCTACCTTACTATAGTTTATTAAGGTAATGTAAGTAAGTCTGAAACTTAGTATATAATTTTGGTTTAGTTAGTTGGTTTTGGTTTGGGGTGGTAGGTGCTGTTGTTTCGTTTTAGGTTTTGGGTTTTTCTTGGTTTTGTTTTTGGGTTTTGAGCCAGGGTTTCTCGTGTAGCCCTGACTGTACTAGAACTCACTCTATAAAACAGGCTATCCTCGAACTTAGAGATAGATCAGTGAGGGCTGGGATTAAAGCTGTGCAGCATTACCAACCAACTTAGTATACATTTTTTAAAAACTGACACGATTATATAATTTTTCACATTCTCCACGAAAGCTGACTAGTTGAGTAAAAGCAAATGGAGTCTGAAGGGTTCCGTTCCTTAACTTCCAACACCTAGTCCATAACACTAAGGTTTGAATTACCTGCAT